ATTATTTAACATAGGAATTCAACTTAACTGTGTTAAGAAAGTAGGGTGCAAGGAATTGTCAAAGAAAATAAGAGAGTAACAGAACCTGGCTGTATAATAGAGGTTTTGTATTCCAGGATATTCCAGGGGGACAAATGATGTTAGCCATGACCATATTTATTGCTGGTAAACAGGCAAGCAGATGGGAGATGGAGAGATAGGGCTTTCATGACCATGAGCACCTCTGGCTCCCTCCTTGTGGGCACCTACAGCCCAGTTTTGCACTATTGGATGAACCTTCCTCACTTGTTCAGAGGCTGCTGGACACCAATTGCAAGAGCACAGCTGTGGGGGCATCCTATGTCACTTGTGGTATAATTGAGATACTGAGCCAGTGGCATAACTTCTGTGCCTGTGTTTCACATTTTCTAAAGAGGAATAAGGGTAACAGTTATTATATAACAATAGCACCTACCTCACAGGATTGTCTGAGGAATAGAAAGGGTAAGGGCATTGAAGTTCTTAGCTCTGTTCTTGGCACACAATTGGCAGCCAAGTGTGTGTCATTTTAAATGGCCTCTGAGGTCTTTCCACTCCGAGTCCAGTGTTCATATGCCCACCATCTGCTCATGGCTGCCTAGGCAGAGGGCTGAGCTTGTTCCTGTCTTGGTCTTGTTTAGATCTAACACCCAAGGGCAGGACTCATTGGAGATGTATAATGTATAATGGTGGTGAGCTGTCTGTGGCAGGTGTGACTGCTAATACTCTATACCGTGTAAATAACAGTTTACTTTGTCACTTCATTATGTGACCACTGGGTAGCAGAACGAAGAGATGTGAGTAAAAGCCTGTACATGGGATTCTAAGATTTTGACTTGGGGTTGGAGGAGCTCATGTAGTTCACATAACTTTAGCACATCTTTATTATGAATAAAATGCCATAGTTCTTGGTTATGTTGAGAATGATGCTGGCCGGACGCGGTGGCTCACACCTGTAATCCCAACACTTTGGGGAAGTGAGGCGGGTGGATCATGAGGTCAAGAGATCGAGACCATCCAAAACTGGAATTCTGCCTCCTGCCTGGGGTACAAATTCCTGACTAGGGCTGTCCTGTTCCCAGTTGCCTTCTTAGGCTGCAAGGCCTGGGTGTAACAGCTACTCCTGGCCAAGCCTCGTACACGAGATACCAAGCAAGGCCAATTCATTGAGAACACTGACATCTTGTCACCTAGGGCTTTCTTCCCAGTGCTTCCATGGGTCAGCTCAAGACCCACTTTCCTTGGGAGCCTTTCTCCCCCATGGCCAATGCTTTGGTGATGGCACTTCCATATGGTCTTTGCCTGATATAGTTGTTGTCTCTAGTTTGAAGGCTTCTTCTCCTCATTTACTGCCTCTGACTGCACCTCGGTGGGTTCTGAGCAATAATCCCTACTTCCTGCCAGGAGGAGTAAGTGGGAAATATTAGCTAACCTTTAAAACCGTAAAAACGTGGAGCTTGTGCCAGAAGTTGCTTGTCAAATGGGAGAGATGTGGTCTAGCAAAGCTCGTATTCTGCTAAAGCGTGGCCTGGGGCGTCAGTCCTCAGAAGATCATAAGCCATTATCCATCCACAATTCATTGTTCAGTAAATGTTTGATGTTGAGATGGTGGATGTCCTGTGATGGTGTGGGGAGGTCTCATTATTGGAGAACACCTAAATGATGTTATCTCTAAGGGAAAAGAAGCTAACTCTTCTGTGATCACCAAGGTGGGCACCACAGTGGGTCTAGCCTACTGTGATGAGGAGATGGTGGCCATGGGGTTGAGAATTAAAAAAGTGATGGCCCTTGGAAGGACTTTGGTGCCTTGGGTGTCCAGAAAGCACAATCCAGAGACACAATAACCATGACTTTAGGAGGCCACCGCTGGGCTAAGCTTGAGGAGGCTGGTGGTCAGGATGATGAACTAAAATGAGACTCTTTAACTCCACCGCAGTGTTGTGATGCCCTGAGGGGGAACCTCCATCTGAATCAATGATACGTGTGTTTCTAAAGGAGAAAGCAAAGAAATGCCATGAAAAGAGAATACCTGCTCCACCCAGGGTATAAGGAGCTACCTTCCTGAAGTCTACACGTGCAGAAGCCCATAGCCAGACTAGTGTGCTTTGTCCAGAGGCCTGAGAGTTGTGATGGGCGGTAGTGAGGGCCTCCCCGTGAAACTCAGAACCTGGACTCAGGCGGCACGGCCTGGAGAGACTGGCCTGCTGGGCCAGCTACAGATTTGTGAATCCCGCTGTGGCCCCAATGCATGCGTAAGGGCTTCTGAGTGATGATATTGGTGGCCTCACAGAATGGACAAGTGGGGTATAGCTGTCTCCAAAGACACGATGAAGTCCCCGCACACATGGAGGGCCTGCCACAAAGTGGCTGCACACTAGTGGTGAGGATTTGGTTTTTAACTGTAAGGGGCCTTTGTCAGCCCACTGAGGACCAACTGATGCCCAGAAATCTTTACAACAGCTGGAGGAGTCATGAGTGTGTGTCTCTACAGCGGCACTGTCCAGGAAGAGGGAGAGTGGTGCAGCAGCCCTGCCGCATGGCCTGGGCCCAGTCAGCGGCTTTCACATGCAGCACCCAGAGTCATTTGGGGAGCTCAAGGAGAACAGAGACCCTCCAGCTGGCTCAGAGTCACTGATGGCTGGTGTCGCTGGAGGGGTGGCCTTCTCTGCTCCAACCCAGTCTTGTGCTCTTCCTCCCATTCTTGGCTGTAGGACTGGGAACCACCTGCTGGGACACACTGCCTGTCTGCCTCGCGTGTGGCCATGCTCCCATCCTGCCTCCATACAGACTCTGGTCAGGATTGGGCAGCCCAGAGCCCCAGCAGGCTCTCAGTCTGTGCTGAGGTCACACCTCAGGCATTATCTCCATCCTTCCCCAGGTGATTCCAGCAAATTCTCTTCTTCTTTTTTTTTTTCTGTATGGTTGTTGTTGAGAGGGAATCCCACTCTGTCCCCCAGGCTGGAGTGCAATGGCGCCATCTCGGTTCACTGCAACCTCTGCCTCCCAGGTTCAAGTGGTTCTCTTGCCTCAGCCTCCCGAGTAGCTGGGATTACAGGCACATACCACCATGCCTGCCTAAATTTTGTATTTTTAGTAGAGATGGGGTTGCACTATGTTTGCCAGGCTGGTCTCAAACTCCTGACCTCAAGTGATCCGCCCACCGTGGCCTCCCAAAGTGCTGGGATTACAGGCATGAGCCACCACGCCTCGGCCTGGAGCCATTTCTTTGTTGGACACAGACCCACTTCTGACCCTCCTTACTTTTCCAGTGACTCACCGAATCCCCTGTCAACTGTTCTTAGTTTAAATTCCTCCTTGGGGAGCAGGGTGCATGGAACTCAGGTGTGGTGCCAACCTCCGCCTCGCCGGTGACAGATTCAGAGCTCTACCATGGGACTTGGCAAGTATTATGGAACAATGGGAAGGAAGTAGGGATTTCCTCCAGAGATCAGCTACGAAGGTCACAGAGAGATGACCATGATTCACATGGCTGTCACTGCGGAGAGAGCCCAAAGTAAGACCAAGAGAAATAAATGGGAAGACGACAATGTGACTCATGCTTTGAGTCCTTAAATCAAGTATTTCCTGAAGCCAGAATCCCCCAATTTCCAAGACATAGGAGTGAAAATGTTAACTCAGCTTTGTCAAGGTTTGACACATAGTAATATCTTAAAAATGTGTAAGATATAGTCTCTTTTTGTTTTTAAGAGAAAGGGGTCTCACTATGTTGTCAGGCTGGTATTGAATTCTGGTATCCGATGATCCTCCCACCTCAGCCTCTCAAATAGCTAGAACTACATGCATGTGCCACCATACTGGCTTAAGATGCATTCTTTGACACAGCAATTCTATTTCTATAAGTTTATCCATATGGGTAAGAGGACATATATACAAGATAATCACTGTAACTTTACTTATTACTGCAAAAGTTTAAGAATAACCAAATTGTACTAATTTTATCGTGTTTTATCAATAGAAAAAAATAAGTGATGGCATATACAAACCCTGGGATAGTATAAGACTTCAAAAATTATAACAGCATTCCATGTGTTTAGATATACAAAGTGCCCATGATACAGGTGATAAAAGCAAAGTGCAGAATACTATGAATAACTGTTAATAGTGATGGATTCCTGGGTCAGAATTGAAGGCCTGAGGGTAGAAATGAGAGCTCATTACTCTTCTGCTCTTTTTGAATGTTGTTCCTTGTGTATGATTTAAAATTTTCAAAACTAAAAAAATAAAATAAAATAAAAGATCTCAGAAAGGGGTTGTAGGCACTCAAATTACTTTGATATTCCTCAAAAGTGAGAGAAGTACCTGCTACACACTGTATATGATGCATGCAGATCACACCAACTTCTTGAAACCCAAATCCGAATTTTGATTTTAATCTGATAAACTTGGCCTACTATTCTACTGAACTCATTTCCCCTATAGCTGATAAGGTCATTGTCCTGTCCACACTGGCCCCGGCAGGAGACTACTCACCTCAAGATCTCAAAAGCCTCCTACATGAGGCTAATAATATCCCCTGTAATCCTGCAATGATTAACTCTCTACTCCACTGGGACCCAGATCTGACCCCAGAGAGTCATCCAGAGAGTACCAGGGACCATCTTCGGAAAACAAGAGGCATTTGATCCCCAAATTTATTGAATGAAAGCACTGTTGTTTTTCTTGTCTGAATATATAAAAGTAAATACTCAAGCAGATGGGAAACAGGACAGGAGAGTAATGTCCTTATCACTGCCAACAACTTGGATCAAAAGAGGCATTAAGCATACAGACTCACTCTGTAATGAAAGCTAGAGAAAGAGGAGCATCAAAGGGACTTTGAGGGTGAAGGCAGCCCTTCCCTCCCAATCACATGCCCACCTCTCCCTCTCACTGCAGCCTGTCTCAGGCCTTCTCCCCAGCAGAGCTATAAATCCAGACTCACACATCCACACCTGCTTTCCCTCCTCCAGGTGACCCCAGCCATGAGGACCCTCGCCATCCTTGCTGCCATTCTCCTGTTCCGCCCAGGCCCAGGCTGAGTCACTCCAGGAAAGAGAGCTGATGAGGCTGCAACCCAGAGCAGCCTGGGGAAGACGACCAGACCTTGCTGTCTCCTTTGAAGAAAATGGACTCTCTACTCTTAGAGCCTCAGGTAGGAGACATCGATCTTGCAGATCTTCAAAATCTAGAACAAAAGGATTGGAAACAGGCTCTGCATCAAGTGTGGAAAAGTCTACTCACTTGGAGTGACTTTACTTAATCTTCCTGGACCTTGATTTTCTCATCTCTAAATTAATCAGTAGAACCTAAACACACCTAAAAGATTTTCTTTCTTCTAAGACTTTTAGTTTCAAGATATTTCTGTGAAATTTGCTACTTTTAAGATAGAAAGAGCTATACTGACCAGGTATTTGTAGGTCTGAACGGGTAGACTTAGTTACAGAGGAGAATATTTTACTTTGTCCATTGCAAAGCTTTTAGAACCTATGGAGGAATGTATGAGTGTGTTTCAGTGTAGGCTAATGGGCTTGATTAAATCTTTCACAATACATACTAGATCCAAACTTATATCCAAATATATATTTGATATAAGATCCATACTTAGATCCAAACTTAGATCCAAATATATATTGTGTCTCATATATATACACAATTATTATTTCCACACTAAAATAAGTACATAAGTAAAATGTTAAGAAAAAAAGAGAGAGAGAGGGAATGAAGAATTTGAATTTGGAAGGTCTTCAAAGACTCCTTGAGCACCAAAGTGTTTGAGTCCATGACATGAGTGCATGCACAATGCAGCATTCAGAAATGGATGCAGGTGCATTAGGGAGCCTTGTTAGGACATGCAGATCATACATGGAGGTCAAGATTAGGGGTATGGATTAAGCAGAATGAAGAGTAGGTAACCCTGAGGTTGAGAAGTATAGTGTTTTACCAGGGAGCAGGTAATAAACATGTCCTGGATAGACCATGATGGGGAAAGAAGTATGATCTTGCATGACTAATACATAGGTAGTATGGGGATTTCTTGCCGCTTTCAAGTAACAGAGACATGAATTTTCTCCATCCTAACATGACTGATACAGTGTCTCTTGTTTAGACTATCTCAGTTAGTCTGGCTCTGCCTGTCCTTTTCCCCACCTCCCTCGCTGTGCCTGACCCTCTCTTCTTTCCACAGGTTCTCAGGCAAGACGCACCTGCTATTGCCGAAACAAGCGTTGTTTTACCCCTGAGTTCCATGCCGGGAAGTGCAAAGTCGAGGGCGGCACCTACAAACTCTGCTGTCGCTGAGCTTCCTAGATAGAAACCAAAGCAGTACAAGATTCAATCCAAGGTCCTGAAGAAAGAAAAACATTTCACCCTGTGTACCTTGTGTCTTTCTAAATTTTTCTCTCCAAAATAAAGTTCAAGCATTAAACTTAGTGTGTTTAACCTTTTTAATTTTCTTTTCTTCTTCCTTTTTTCCCCCTTTTGCTTTTTTATATGGTGGTTTGTTTGTTTCCTTTGTATAGAGAATTCTGATCCACATTAAGCTAACTAGTCTTTGCATTCCAATGATGCACAATTTGAGCATCATAGAGCAATAACGAAATAGCAAAAATGAATATAATTGGGTTTGTTGTTGTTGTTGTTGTTGTTTGAGACAGTATCTCACTTAGCCACCCAAGCTGGAGTACAGTGGTGCAATTACAGTTGACTGCAGCCTTTACCTCCTGTGCTCAAATGATCCTCCCACCTCAGCCTCTTGAGTAGCTGGGACTACAGGCATGTGCCACCACACCCTGCTAATGTTTTGTACTTTTTGGAGAGACAGGGTTTCACCATGTTGCCCAGATTGGTCTCGAACTCCTGAGCTTAAGTGATCTGCCCTCCTCAGCCTCCCAAAGTGCTAGGATTACATGCTTGAGCCACCATGCCTGACAGGATATAAGTGATAATTGGAATAGTTTGAAACTTAAAAGTTCAATGCATTCTTAATCATACTCAAACAATAGAAGTTTACAATGAGAGGCAAAAAGTGGTTGTTGGCTCAAAGGAAAGATAGATCTGATGGGCTATGTTTACTTGTCGTTTAATTTTAAAAAGTGGAAAAGCATTGCTATACATAATTTTTGAAACTTTAAGCAGATGTGTTAAATATATATATTTTACATTAAGCTTTATTTCACTCTATTTTGGTGATATATAACTGTATTAAGATAGAATAAAATAAAGTTTAACAAGGAAAAAGTTAAAACTGTACCTAAAACAGGAAAAACTGACAAGCATCAGTGATTCAATTAATAAACAGATAGAAGAAGAGCTCAGAAGCTAATGACCATAGAGGATGAGGCCCAATAACCAATGAGACAAATGATCCCTTACTGGTCCCCAAAAGACCTCAAAATGTTTGGTCCCCAAAACATTAGACCAAAATGTTTGGTCCCCAAAACATTAGACCAATGTTTAATGAAGGAGTTGATCTCAACTCTCCATCCCTTCAAGCATATGAATTCTGTTAGTTATAATAAACTATACTCATTTTAATAAAATGTTAGTGAGAAAATATATGTTAATATGCTTTTAATTATGCCAATGAACCAAGTCAATATATCATAATGATAAGACAATTGACCATACACTTACAGTTGTGCAAAAAGTTAAGAACGTATTTGGGGGAAGGTAAGTTTCTGGAATTAAAATTTACATAAAAGACAGGGATTGAACAGTGCCATGACATGACAAAAAAAAAAAAAAAAAAAAACATTTCTATTACAGCAACAACAAAAAATCTCAACCAGATAATAAATAACAAGTAGCCTAACTTTGATTCATCTTAATTCATCTTAGACACATACAAAGCACTGTTTCCTGATCAAGGATCAGAGACATACAAAGCACTGTTTCCTGATCAAGGATCAGCTATTTGACCCTAGACGGTAACCTCGTTTAGTAATCTGGGTCTCAGAAGATCAGCGAAAATCACAGGAAGGAATAATATCAAAACAAATAAGAAAAGATATCAACCATGATATGGCCTTCTATATCACTATTGGTATAATGAATGAATAAGCTTGGATCATCATTCAGGAATATGTTTATCTATTCTTGAAGGTGTTAGATGTGTCTGAAAACAACCAGGCATACTAAATGTATGACATCAATGTAGATGAAGGGAATTTAAATAATCACCTTTGTATCAGTATTTAATACTCAAGACCTGGTTTAAATTTAGTGTAAATAGTGATCAGATTTTTCTCTGTGCACAAGAGTCCTTCCAATATTAAAGAACCTACCAAGCTAGTGCAGGCTGGTGCTGCCTTTCCTCATCTGATGGTCCTTAGTGAGAGCTCTCCACTTTACTGGGAGATAGGTGGTGGGGGCTGGTTCTCTGCCTCAGCAACCCTTCTGAGCAGGACTCTCTTCCACCTTGCTGGTCACACCTGGTCCTGGAACTGAGGGCCAGCCAGAGAGCACTGTAGAGAGGAGGGAGAGCCTCATGCACCACCCAAGATAAGCAGGCTTCCCTGGCAGCAGGAACCAGAACGGGTAGTGGAGAGACCTCAGATGCTGAATACAAGTACACATCTTTGGGGAAGATAAAGTCACTCTACAAAAAGTCTGTGAACTTAGGCCAGGTTGGCCTATAGGTGAAAGGGAAGGATGTTCCAGGTCTCACCTGGTTGCCTAAAAGTCACCGTGATGCTACTCTATTTAACTGCTTTACTCACAGCCAAAACTAACTGTTGTTTGTCTCTGCCCTTTCTTTTTGATGTGTTCTCTGCTTTTTTGTTTTGGGTGTTTTGTTTGTTTTGTTTTGTTTTGTTTGAGAGATGGAGTCTTCTCTGTCGCCCAGGCTGGAGTGCAGTGGCACGATCTTGGTTCACTGCAACCTCCACTTCCCAGGTTCAAGTGATTCTTCTGCCTCACTCTCCCAAGTAGTTAGGATTAGAGGCAAGTGTCAATGCGTCTCTAGTTTCATTTTCGTATTTTTATTAGGAGATGGGGTTTCCACCATATTGGCCAGGCTGGTGTCGAACTCCTAACCTTGAATGATGTCCCCACTTCGGCCTCCTAAAGTGCTGGGATGACAGGCATGAGCCACTGTGCTGGGTCAATGGGTTCTGTTTTTATAAGAATCTTGAATAGTATCTCCTGTTCCTCATCAGCCTTTATGTAAACATCAGCTACAAAGTGGGGGTTTGTTAGAGGCTCTGCTGCTCCATTCAGAGCAGCTACAGTATAAACAACTCTAGGTTTTCCAGGCAGATCTCTTCAACGTCCCATTTTCCCTTGAAGCTAAGACTCTTGTCTTATATTAGCACAGTGACTGAGGATATGAATAATCAAGAAGTAGGACTCAAGGTCATGGGAAGAATACCCTACTCTTACTGTGAGTAAAACTTACAGTAAGAAACAAAATAAATGTTTCCTCGGGCCCAAAGCTATTACATTGAGCATCAAGTCTCTGGTCAGAGGAGAGTGGGTTATAAAACCAAGATAAACAGAAGATGTTCTTCTACCCCTTCCTTCAGGCAATGGGAGGCTTTTTCTAACTGTTAATGGAAATTCTTGGCTCAGCATGGAGCTAAACAAAAAGGCCTGATACAAGGCACTTCACTCTCATTTCAAATGTGTCCTGCATATATCTCCCACACATCCTCATTCTCATGTCCCAACCCCAGTCAGTCTAACTGCAGATCTTCCTTTTCTCTGCTGCAGAAAATTCAGGTGACCACACAAATCAAGCGCCTACCTAAACTGTGTGTCTTGGTCAGGGACTTCCAGAGAAACAGAACCAAAATAATGTATGTATAGAGAGATTGTTTTCAAGTAAATGCCTCATGTGACTAAGGAGCTAGGCAAATCAAAATCTCCAGGATGTGGCCATCATACTGGAGGCCCAGGGAAGCGCTGCCAAACTTGCAGTTCAAGTCTAGAGCCTGTCTGCTGGCAGAATTCTCTCTTGCCCAGGGAAGGTCAACCTTTTCCCTTTTCAAGCCTTCAGCGGATTGGATGAGGACCAATTTAACACTCAAATGAAGACAATCTACTCACGGAAAGTCCAACAACTTAAATCTTAATCACACCAATAAGACACTCCTTTTACATAAATACCTAGAATCATGTATGACCAAATATCTATCCACTGCAAACCAACCAAGTTGACACACACATAAAATTAACCATCACACTGGTCCTTCAGTTTTACTGAGCAATCTTCTAAGCTCCTGTATTTCAGTCTTGTTCCAGTTCTTTAAAGGACTTCAACAATATCTTAGTTCTATCATATTCTATATCACGTTTTTCATAGACTAAATGCTTGAAACTGTCTTTTTGTTGTTTTTCTTTTTTACAAGACAGACTTCTCACTCTGTTACCCAGGCTGAGTACAGTGGTGTGATCTCAGCCAACCCAACCTCTGCCTCTCAGGTTTAAGCGATTCTCATGCCTTGGCCTCCCAAGTAGCTGATACTACAGGCATATGCAACCACGCCCCAGCTAATTTTTTTATACTTCTGTAGCAGTAACAGGTTTCACCATGTTGTCCAGGCTGGTATCAAACTCCTGACCCCAGGTGATGCACTCACCTTGGCCTCCCAAACGCTGGGATTACAGGTTTGAGCCCCCACACCAGCCTTGCTTCTTGAAGCTATTGATCCATCTTACATCTATGTGCAAAAGTAATCTGATAGTGGTTTTGCTTGTATTTATTTGATAAACTTATACTATGTATCAGCTACTATAATTTGAGTGTGTCCTCCAAAAGTTCATGTTAACGAATCTCAATCTAATACTAGTTAAAACGCTGGGTCTTTAAGAGCTGATGGGGTCTTGAGGGCTTATGCCCCGAATGGATTAACTCCTTTCATGAACTAACATGTTAGTAGATTGTCACAAGGAGGAGTCTGCTGTGAGTCTGTTGTAAAGCCAGTTTCTCTCAGTGTGTCCACCACCATGTGATGCTCCTGTACCACTGAGGACTGCAGAGACTCCTTATCAGCAAGAAGGCCCTCACCAGATGCAGCTTCTAAACCTCCTCAGACTTACCAGCTTCAGAGTTGAAGAAAAAGTGTATTTTCTTTATAAGTTACCCAGCCTTAGGTATTCAGTTATGGAAACTATATATATATATATATATGACAGGTACCATCTTAGGATCAAGGAAATATGGCACATACTAATATCCAGTCATTGCCGCTATTGTGTTAGGCATCACACCAATTCCTTTCCACATGAGGTAGGAGAGACAATTATTTAGATTTGAGAGGTGAAGAAATGGGAGGCCTGTACATGGAAACTCCATCCTTTCATCTTCGGTACACCTGATGTTGCATAAGAAACAATAGTAAACAGAAAATGAAGACTTCCCGATGGACAAAGGAGCCAGTGATCAATCCTGCTAAGAACATGGCAATGTTCAATAATTCAAAACAGCAGT